AACTGGCTTACACCACTCAAGCAAGAGGTACTGGGGCCTCCGATTAAGGAGAGTATATGCGTTTAGAAAGACTCTTACTGACGGAGTCCAAGCTGACAGCAATTGGAGGTATTTTGGAATAAAAAGAGTTTTCTTTCGAACGGGTTCGTAAGAATAGTAGTTTTTTATATGTCCTCCGGTTTTTTATTATTATTTTTGTGACTGGTCAGAACTACTTATAATTAATTAAAATTGTAACCATCTTTGCTTGCTTCCTGTCAGTAAAACACGATTAAGATTCTATAGTGTCTTATTGTAATCAAAACATTTCCTCAATTCTCTACAGACCTAAAACCGACGTTTAAGTGACGTCAATAAGCAGACGTCCAGCCGACGTCATTAAACAGACGTCTGGCAGATGTGTCATGTAGCGGTAATTTGGACGTCCAAATGACGAAAAACGAGGAAACGTTTTTGAGTATATGCGTTTGGTAGTAAGTACGTAGTATCATAGTGGTTTATAAATCAGTTGAATTCTGTTAACTTTAACCTAGGCCTGGGTAATACTGTGTCTTAAGACACTTGTGTGTTGATGCCGCTCTCTGTGTCCCTGTGCAGCGACACTTGGCCTCTTACGACGCTGTATTTTCAACAACACTTAACATTTAATCTCATTAAAGATGGTAGACTTCGAATTACAGTTTATGAAAGCCAAGCGCAGTTACCATATGGTTATAAAGACGCACGGACGATTATGGAAATTCGAAGTCACCGAGAGAGTCCGATATTTTACCTTATTCTCAAACCGTCATTATTACATCTAACATACAATGTCGTCTACTTGAGTTTGCCATATGGGACGCGCATATGGGAATCTTTTTATGATTTAGGGAAAAGGTTATTCTTCATTAAATGCTCTGATGGAATCAAAACTATATAAGACAATATCGAAAATTTGATTAGAGTTGAAGTCCGTTCAGATATCTAATTGCACCCACCGATGATGAACATCAAGTTTTGGTATTTTTGTTTGTTTAAGTTGGTTTGATGTGGGAAACTTGTTATGATTAATTTTACGAAAAAAAGTTAATCGTTATAAAAACTTCTGCATGTTCTAAATTCTAAAATACAATTATCAGATACCAAATTTTTTTAGTATTATCCGAGGTTTGTCAGAAAATATCAATTTTTTTTTCATATAATTGAATGTAATTGCATATTGGAACGTAGTTTGCAGTTTCGATCAACTTTTCTTAAAAAAACAATGTTCGATATTGTGACCTTACAAAATGTATCAACTTTTTGAAATTTTTAAATAAAATAATTTATAATTTGAAAACGGTTTATTTCACAGCTTAAAGTGTAAATGCAAATTTGTAACTTTGTAAATTATCTATCTAATGACGTATTAATATACAGGTACTTCTATTTGAAAAACAAAAGTTATATTGCGTTAAAAAGTTTTAGATTGAAGTCCACATTGTTAACACCCTGTACAATGTATTGATAATTTGGTTCAAAAGAATTCTTAACCAATCTGTAGTGATTGGAAAGACGTGTTTCTTTGTATCTCTAACATCTTTTTTTATGCTTCTACAATGAATTTTTAGATACTATGTTTTTAAGCAAAATTTTACTAAAATGGCGATAATCTGCCAACGTCGCAAGTAAGAATAAAAAAATTTACGGTGCATATGCAGAGTTTCAAGATGCATTCCATGAGCTAATGAAAAATGGGTAGTTCTATTTAAAAAAATACACTTTGATCTTGCCTCGCTTTTCTGTATCATATGAGATATTTTTAAAATGTACGCACTTTGTGCGTCAACAACTTTTATATGAAACTATTTTTCGAAAGTTCAACATCAACGGAAATAATGGACTCTATCGCACTAAAAAACCACCCTGTATATGTATACAGGGTGTCGCAATAAGGATGGTAAGCGGCTGTATCTTGGAAAGTATGTGTTGTAGAGTGATCGGAAAAAAAATTTGATAACAAACTTGACGAAAAGAATTTGCTGGAAATTATTTTGAAATTTCTCAGATGACCACCAGATGGCGTAACTGCAAACGGTATTTTAAAAAGTCGATCTTATACAGAAATTGTCCCTATAAGCGAAACATCTAGTAAGTTTAATGACAAAACTTTGAAATCGGTCAAGCCGTTTCGGCGTTACAGGTTTCTTTGAATTAAGCGGTTTGACTCTATCCCCACGCTTTATTTGACAAGTTTGGAAAAAAGTTTATAAGGAAAGTAGTACGGTTTTTTATGATCATCTTTTGACTAAACTTACTAGATGTTTTACTTATAGGGACAATTTCTGTATAAAATCGACTTTTTAATATACCGTTTGCAATTACGCCATCTAGTGGTCATCTGAGAAATTTCGAAAAAATTCCGATCATTCTACAACACATACTTTCCAAGATACCGCCGCTTACCATCCTTATTGCGACACCGTGTATATATCCCCAAGAATTTATAAACTAACTATATGTATATATATATTTCAGTTTGAAAAGTCTTTAAATTCAAAAATCTCTTGAAAAGTCAGATGAATTTTTGAAAATTGAGACTTCTGACTTAATATCATTGACAGTTAAATAACTTTAAAAATTCTCCGTTTTTTTGGTAGCTCGTCTCAAATAAAGTGGTGATTTATATAACAGAAGAGAAAACTGTACATATTAGTTTAGAGGGACTCAAATAGTTAGCAATGACATGCCAAACAACTTGCAAAGCGTGTCCTGCTTTGGGGAAAGAACATAGGTAACAAAAACTTTTTTCACATTAAATATTACTAACGTCCATAATATTGTAGAATAAACTCCAGAAAATAATGATTCCCTTCGTGGCTATTATGAAACTGCTTCAGGTATTTCAGATAAAATAGAACTTAAGTTGAAATCGTACTGTTATTTCTTCGAATGCCCGCCACTTGAAACTATAATAACTAAAATTATCAACAGAAAAATAATATTACAGCGTAACAAATTTAATTGGCAGTTGTAATTTTGCAAACCATTGTCTGAATCTTGATTTACATGAATAACTTTAAACTTTTTATTCGCTTTTTTGATAAAGTTATTACTTCCTATGTAAATTTCTAAATTTAACATTGTTAGCCGTTATTTTAAAATGAACCAACGCTTTGTTTTGTGAAAGAGGTTTGTTAGCAAAATGATAAAGTTGCTTCATTTGTTTGGCTTACCGATTTTCCTTAAGAAGAAGGTCCAGATACTTTATACACTAGCCACAGTTTCTCGCCTTCAACTGTTAATTCTGCATAAATCCACTGCCTCTCAAATTAACAGTTTTCGTTTCGTATATTCGTTTCGTTCTGTTAAATTCTCCACGGCATGTTTTTCTCTGTCATATAACTACGCATAATGCAAGATTATTATTAAGTAAATATGAAATATAAACATTCCAGCTGCTAAGAGACAAGTTTGGGAGGAATACTTACTTGTTACCACTGTCTAACTGTGGTCTAACTTTTCTGTTAAGAAAAACCAGCATGTCGCAATACCGTCTAGACTTCGATACACCTGAACCGGCGAAGGTACTTACCTTTTTTCGAGCGAATCCTTTTTTATCAAGTCTTTATTTTACGCTATCGTTAGGTTTATTTTAATTGATGACTGATGCATTGACGACTCTGTGATTAATTTAAATTAATTTAACTACACTAGATTTAGAGCTGAAACTCCTGTTTTCCTTTTTAGGGCTGTGAGAGTGACTTAAATACTTATAGTCGAAACGTTGGCCCATGAAAAATAGTGTATCATTTTTTCGCCACCATCTATTGACCTATAAGCTCACAGACCTAAATAGGCATTATTTATTGTTTATTTGGATTGTTTCTTGTTTCCATTTCCAGTATTTTTCAGTAACTTTGTTAAGAAATGCTAAACCATTACAGTTAATTTGATCGATAGAACACGAATGCTTATGATACCAGCCAAATTTTCAGAATTGCGGTAATTGACTGGTTTATGCTCCATCGCGCTAGAATTTAAAGATATGCATTTACATACACAACTACATAATCTACTAACAACTGTTGTTAGTGGTCTTTCTTGAGAAAATGCAGATTTCGGTCACGTTTTGATCAAATAAATTATAATTTTCTAATAAAAAAAATAAATAAAATAAAAATAACGTAACGGTAATAAGTTTCTCATAAAATCCTTTGTCTTATAAAAACCGTAGAGATACGGGATAATTACTTATTAATTAAAAAGATTAATAAATCTAACTAATCTAACCAATACTAAGCAGAACTAACAAAAACTAAAAACATATCCAAACCCTACTAAATGTGTCAAAGAAAAAATTTAAGAAAACATAGATTCGGCAAATTCGCGAAATTTTTCGAACATTGTCACCATGAGGGCGTTGTGGTAAAGAACGTTTTTTCAATGAGTGAAAACTGGTGGAAAAATGCATTTTCCCAACAAACACCACTAAGAAAAGCTATTAGTAAAGGATTAACCATACGTAAGCACAATTATCTTTATTTCAAACATAAATGGGCAACATAGACAGTTACTCCGGCATCCGTGTGCCTACGTCTAGGTGCCCTCAGTCGTGAGTCACCCTACCCTGTTTATGATGTATGTAAAACTATTTCAACATTCAACTGTAGCGTAAACATAATTTAGTTTTTAAATATTATCCCCAAGTAAAACTAAATCAAAACTATAGTAAATATCGGATAATTGGCAAGCGAACATCCTTATCAAGCATTTAATATTACTAATCGACTTTCCAAATTCAATACTGAATACTGAACAGCTGATAGCAAACGACGCCTACTCTGAGCGTCGCGCAGCTCACATATGACGCTTAAGCTTCCATATCGTTCCCACCAGAACTAAAAGCGCACGCGTTCTCCAACCGGGAAAATGTTGGGACGTAGCGTAATATTTTTTTACTATTACATTACTCGGCAATATCGTAGGTTGAACGAAAGTGCGCTCTTTACATTATATTTACGGAAACCGTATTTTTCCAGCTGCACCGTAGCCGCAAAACAACTCAAGGACAAAAAAAGTGCCGATCATAGATTGGAGAGCGGTTTACCTCAGCAAACGAGCATCATCATGGAGAAAGACAGGCTAGGCCAGTGGGGAAATGGGGACAATCTGATTCCTGGACAAGAAAGCGGACTGGATCGGTTAAAGAATCCTGGATTAAATAAGGTCAGTTTATTGTATTCTAAGGTCTGAACAGCAGTTTCTGGCACGAAATTTAAATGTTTGTATTCTTCGGTATATAATATGATTTGTTATTCATTGTTTATGTTTATTGTTATTCATTCTGTTATTGTTGCACACATACGGATGTAAGAATTATTTGTTTTGGCTACAGGCGAAATATGTTTGTTTATTGACATGGTGAAAGATCATTTCTAATTTAATTTTGAACAGGAAATCAATAAGATGGCTAATATCTAATCTAGAGGAAAAATAGGCGACTAAAGCTCGAACAACAATTATTCCAAACTTTGAATATTCACGGTTTTCGATAATTAAGTTCTAACGTCAATTGGCCAGTGTTTTGAATTTGACTTTTGCAATGTCATATTTAGTTCAATTGTCACTTATATGAGAAATGACTTATCACTCAAATTACCTCAGATAAAATAAAGATACTTTTGAAATAAGACACAGAACAACATATGTAGGACATTACGTTGCATAAAACAAGTTTATTACCTGTAACTTCACTAGACAGAACGGTATAAGCAGTAAGGAAAGTTTTGAAACATTTAACTCATTATTATTCAATAGGATTAACTATTCAAGTTATAAAATTGTCAAAAAATGCGTCAAACACAATTGTTTTTAGGAAGCAACAAAAAATGATCTTGAATTTAACTGAGGAATTCCGAAATTGATTTGAAATTACTTGAAAAACTCCGAGGACTTAAATATTATTTAAACAATTTGTTGAAAAAGTAACATCAATTTACTCAGAAAAAATCTTATTTAACAACAAAACAACAATTTAAATAATATTTTTGCAATAATTAATTAGTCGCAAGGTTCAAAATAATCCGCACATACATCACTCTAAAGTTTAGTTGAAAATTTGTATTTCTATCATTTTACAGTAAACGACTCCGAAATTTCAAGAAAACTTAAGCACATATATGATATTAATAATCTTACTTTATTTTAAAAAATTAAATAGAGTCAGTTTATAGTGAAAAGTCAAGTTCTCATGGCCTTAGCTAAACCTACCGACTCTTCTAAAGTGTAGGTTTCGAGCTCTCTGGTCAACTTAAAAAGAGTTTTTTTAATGAGTATAAGTTTTCAATTTCTTTAATTGTGCTGGGAAGACTGTTGAAAAGTTATATGCTATTGTAGTATTTGAGTCTATAGCTAGTTGTTCTTGTTGAACATTGACTCTGTAATTCAAGCCTTGAAATACTAACCGGTTTTTACATGAACTTGCAAATTCTTTTATGTAAATTGCAGTAACAGCCAGAAGGGTAATTTGTTTAAATTTACTTGAATACATTTTTCAAGTTTTCTATCCGAAATTAGTTTTAAGTATCTATTATTTTTTGACAAACAAACATTCTCGCAAAGTGTCTGCTAATCTAATTGATATTTTCCTTTGCAATTTGTATAATTTGACAGCTCGATATTTTGAGACACATTATTTTCATCACTTATTTGAATGTACTCTGGCATATTTATCGTTGATCTCTTTTTTCTAAAAACTGGTTTTGGAATTATTAAAATAGATACCTACTTTAATAAAATGTTATAGTTTCGATTTTTTTGTTACCGTAAGTTTTATTTGTAATTGTTTTATTTGTAATTGTTCAATTTGAATCTGGATTTTCGACTCTTCCATTAGAAAGTAATTTATCCTATTGTAATAATCACTGAATTCAACAATTATTATCCTCAGTCATAACAAATTCTATAATAGGAGAGCTTTGCTCTTGTCGCAATTTTTACATTTCAACTTTTTAATTTATATGTACGTACATTCCAAGCCCACTGAAACACTTATTTATTTCCATAAATAAAGTCATACTTTGGACTTTGATCATTCCTGATGCTTGTGTATAATGAATATGACGGAAAAATCAAAGTTCGCTAATTAAAAAAGACTTGCATTATCTTTTTAACGTAAACATAATCTTATTTAAATAAACAAATCGGATTCTACCAAACCAGAAAAATTTATTCTACGATTAATGCCAACGTTCTTTTGAAATTTGATGGCTTTTAATTTTGCAAGGCTTATTTATTTAAGAGCATATTCTTTGCCTTTTTCTTTCTGGAGTTTGTCCAACTGACCAAAGAGCGAGCCTGTAAGTGTCTTCAATTTCTCTTTTATACTGGCTGACTAAACGGAATTTTTTATTGCAAAATCTACATAGACTTAATTATTGTGTGTTATTGTGAAATCTGAACACACCTAACGGTGGAAGTGCTTATAATATTATTATTACATCTGACGTCATGCGAAAATATCAGTGTGAAAGGTGAAATACCCCGCGATCCGGAATAACCAAAATAGATCGGTGAGTTGACCTTAACGGATTTTAGCCAGATATTATCATATTAGCCATTAGTTAAGTAAAAGTAATAAACTACAAATGTTTTACAATAGATTTCTTCTTTCTTTTGAGGTTTAATTCAGATTTTCATAGTATTGTATACAGTGTTACCGTAACGTAGAGTACACGTTAAATAACGTCTACCCAAAAATTTGGAAAATTTCTTGAATAAATAAAACTTAATTTGTAGATGCCCACATTGTGCAATAAAAGTACTTATCATCACGTCATTAACTTCGTATGCAATAATTACGAATTAATTCAGTATGAAGACTTCTGCATACAGGATGAATTAGATCAATTCGAATACAATAGAATACAACTTCTTTTACGAAAAAATTATTATTTTTTTAATATATTTTGCTGGTTTTTACATATTTTTATTTAACATACAAGCGTTGCAAAGATTCATTTTTAGTAAGCACTCATAACGGCATGTTTTTGTCAAACAAGGACCTAACAGAGTTTGACAATACCTTGAGTGTCCCAATATCAATTTACAATACAAATATTATACGAAATTTTATCTACTTTTGTAGAATAACAAATTAAATGTTACAAAATTATATTTCACAATTGTGAACATTTTTCCAAACGTTATTATGTTGGAAACTAATGCTGTATGAAATTAACTAATGCTGAATGAAAAACTAATGCTGAATGAAATGCTACAACACTAGTATTGGAATAAAAACTATTATAAACAAATCTATTTTTTTAATTGAATAATTCTTTTTAAACAAAACAACAAATAGAAATAAAATTAGATTTAAACTATTTAAATTAACGAATAACATTATAAACTTGAATAAAACTTTAATAAGGTAGTGAAATAATTTAATAATGAAATAGTTATTCACGCAGAACATTAGAAGAGGCATTATTCTATTATTATGCTTAACAGCGAACAAACCTATGATTAATTATAAATCTATTTTTTTGCAATAACTTTTTCAAGAAACAAAATTCCCAAGTCTGTAGGTAAGCCTATTCTGACTCATAGCTATTCTTAAATAATTTTTATTTATCTTTAAAGTGCTGAAAGATCTTTTACAACTAGCACTTGAAGATGGTAGTGTCATTGCAAAATTACATAGTTTATTCATTCCATGGAAGACTAAACTAAAATATTGCAAAACAAGTGTGAGATCTGTTAAATTGTTTATTTTTAGATTATTTGTGACTTCATACCTCTTAGTGGCATCTGACAATGACTTTGTCTCGTTTTCAATTGAAACTGTATTACATTGGTAATAGTTAGCTAAAGAAATAAGCATTTCAAATTTAAAAAAATAGATTAAATGTCGTTATTAAATGGATTAAAATCGACAAGGGAAAACGGAATACAGCATCTTTGAGAATGCTGTACTTATCCAAGGATACATTATATAATCAGCCCTGTGCTGTATCATAAATGCTATTTTTAACGGCCACACGTTATGGCGACTTAACAGTTCAGGATAACATTTTCGATAACGCAGCAAC